GGCCAAACAAACTGGAAAACTCTCTGGCCAAGCTTTGACAACAAGTCTCTGCACAAGTGGTAACTCTAAGGTGGTCTATCTCAGCCAGTAGACCTTAGAAGGACTTCCTCAACCTTGGAGCCACAAAATCAACATTATCTCAGAACTATCAAAATTACTTAAGTCATTCCCTCAGAGCATGAGGGACCCTAAGTGAGTATCCATCCCTCATCCCAAGGGTACTGATGTGGTTAGGCTGCTGGAAGTAGCCCTTTCCTTTTCCCTCCCCACTTCCCCTAAACACAGGAAGAAAAAAATTGGAAACAACTGTCTCATCCACTTCCCACCATTCCTTGACCCTTCCCACCCTAAACAGTGGTCTGCATGGGCATACATCCTTCTCAATTATGTAAACATCATCAAAAATAGAATAAATTTATTATTAAAAACAACTTTGAAGATCTAAGTTGAGGTCCATAGAGAAGCAAACTAGGCACTGGTGGCCTGAAATAATTTGGGGGCTTCAAAGTCAGTGGGATCAGTGTTAAGGCCAAGTCGTTACCCAAAGAATGTTTTTGAATTGATATTTCGGACTGGTTTATGATAAAGAGCTGAGAAACTCCCCTCTCATGTTTACTACCTATAGGCTCCCCAAGCTTAGGATTAATCTGATCTGTACTGCTGGGGTCAATTTTGAGTAGGCTTATTGTAGGAATTCTAGAGCAGTGTAGACCTGAGTCCCAATCCCCGTTGTGACCTTCACTGACTAGTTCATCAGGAATAACTCTGTTAACCTGTAGGTTCATGTGGCCTATCTGTAAAATGGCAATGATAATACCTACCTTAAATTTTTTATCTTGAGAGCCACATAAAATAATTATTATCCTATTTTTTAATTACCAAGAGTTCAGTAAATGAGTGTATTACCAGAACCTGGCTAGGTTATGAATCAAATAGGAATTTTTCACACTGGTCTGAAAATGTAATCATGTTTCTCTGGGGAAATACCATATTCTAAATAATTGACTTTAAGATAGGCATCATTGTGGAAATACTCAAATTCAAAAATTCAGCTTCTATCTCACTTCTAGGAATACATCCAAAGGAAATTAAATCTGCATATGAGAAAATGACCCATAATCCTATATTTATAGAAGCACAATCTACAATAGCGAAAACATGAAAACAACGCAGATGTCCATCAAAAGAGGAGTGGATTAAAGAAACGGTAGTACTTCTACTCTATGGAATACTACTTGACCATTAACAAGAATGAAATACCATTTGCAACTAGATGGTTCCAGCTAGAGACTATTTATTCTCAGTGAAATAAGCCAATCCTAAAAGGACAACTATTATATGTCATCTCTTACTTAAGGCAAACTCCATGCAAAATACAAGATCAATAGATACACAGGTAAATAAGCATTTACGTATAGTCATCTAGAGGAACTGCATAATAGGAACTATCGATTCAAGATGTGAAGATACAATGCAGTACGCATGTCTACTTCCAAACCAAAGTTAAACTCCCAACAAACTATTGAATATATCTTGATAATAAGATGTTGTACTTTCTGCCATTGTCCATACCTACAGTGTCAGGATGGATTAAGGACTATACTATTATAATAATAATAATATAGAGGAAACCAGTGTGGGGGGCAAGAGAAATCCCAAAGCCTGTGGAACTGTATCATAAAATAAATAAATAGAATTTTATAAATTCAACTTTCTTTTTAAATGGAACTGCTGATTTCTGCAGTTGTCAATTACTTCTAACTATTTGGCCACTACCTTAATCTCACAACTTGTATAGACTTTCTGCCTGAAATGAGAGCTCCCAAGAAGCAAGGCCTTATTGAATCATTTACTGAGCATCTAAAAGTTTACTGAATAACCACTTAGTATGCATCTACAAATGTATACCAATAATTATACATAAAAAGATACATCATAGACCAGTGTCATAGTGTAACAAGTTGGTTAAACTAACACCTCTAACGCCAATATCCCATATGGGCTCTAGATCAAGTCCTAGCTGCTCTATTTCCCACCCTAAATTCTGCTACTGTGTCTGGAAAAGCAGCAGGAGATGATCCAAATCCTTAGGCTCATTCCACCCCATCCATGAAGGAGACCTGAAAGAAACTCCTGGCTCCTGTTTTTGGCTTATTTATGACACCTGGGGAGTGAAACAGCAGCTGGAAGACCTCTCTCCCGTTCTCTCCTTCTATCTCTGTTAACTGCCTTTCAAATAAATCTAACATATATATATATATAACACATATATATATGTGTTTTATATATATAACATATACTTTATAATAGGATTCCTTTCCTCATGGGGCTTAACTTCCATCCAGGTAAAATGGCACACAAAAGTAATCAAGATAATTATGTTGTAATAAAGAAGTATGCAATGGACTGGGAAATATAGTGAGAAAAGAGATCTGCTTTACATAAATTAGTAAGGAAATCTTAGTAAGGAGTGTGACATTCAAACTTCTAAATCAGATGTGAATCAAAGTCAATAATAAATGATAAAATATATTAAAGAATAAAATTACCTACATACACCACTGCTGAGAAGAAAGATTCATTGGTGGACTGTGTTTTAATTCGATCTCAAATACCCAGGTTGCAAATGAAAGGTAGGATGCCATGGTGTGTGTCTAGGCATACATGTAATAGTATAACATACAATCCATAAATAGCAAGCTGGTTGACGGGAGGAACGTTTGGAGAGATGCCACTACCGAGTTATGCCTGACAGAGCCCTGAAAACTAGGAAAGGAAGGCTGTATTCGATTGAATAAGCCAAAGAAAGGTATTCTAGGTTCTAGAACCAGGTTCCATGTCAATGATAGAAGAGAACTAGAGAGTTATCCCAGAAGTGATGTGGATGAAGACACAGACAAGGGCAGCTGGGAGACAATTTCATTAATACAAGTGTGGCCAGCTATAGGTCCAGACCAGTGAGTCTTTAGAGATGAACTGTAAGTATGAAATTGCATGAACAATATCTGGATTATTTGAGAAATACATATTTGAAAATATAAGTGAAAACTGAAGTTTATCTTTTGATTCAATACAAATTTGGGGGTTCTAAGACATCAAGGGAAATAATGCAAATTCATGTTTCCTATCTATGTGAGCAGGGTTTTACTTCTCTTTCATGTAAGAAACGTGGTCTTAAAGAGAGAATAGCATAAGCATAAATCAACCCAATTTTTCAAGCAGTATTTTTTTGTGCAATGGGAAAAAATGATTTTAATTTCACAAGGACAGAAGCAGCATTTGACTGTCCTTGCTTGACAAAACTGAGTAGGTTTAGATTCAAAAGTAAGGCTTCAAGACTTTGTCCATCAACATATCATAGAAGATGAATGAATATGACACTGTGTAATAGCATTTGTGTAAGCACTTTTGGAAGGGGCTGGGGAGCAGGTAGTACCAAGAAAAGTTTAAAAACAAGTTAAGGATGCTTTCTTTTCAATGAGCATCCACAGCTGCTGCACGTAGGTTGGCAACTCCATGTTCAGAATCTATGTTGTCGCTCTAATGTTCAGGAATGGTTAAGGAAGGAAAGAGAACCTCAAGGTCACTGAGAACAGTCTTCAGAGCATTCTTACAGGGCTTATCTGTGCTCACATGCCTAATTTTTTTCCAAATGCAAAGAATGGCTACTTGCTTGAGACAGGCCCAGTACCATCCTTTATTCAAGTTCCTTTATACTCCTCTTTTTAAAGAAGCTGTCAAGTTCTTTTTTTTGCAGCTGACAGGAAAGGCCAAATCTGTGGTACAGGAAAGGAGGCGCAAAAAGAAACTTTTTTGTGTTGATGTTTTACTAAGTGAGCTAAGGAGGATTTTAGAATCATGTAATTTACTCTGGAGGCATTTACTGTACATAGCTATAGTGATGGTAATTTCTTTCATTGTTGAAGTGAAAAGATAACCATCAATCAGTTGTCAATTGGTCAATTGCAGAAGTGATGAAAAGAAGCTGGTAGGAACAATCACTTCTGTGGCTACCTAGACCATTTGAAGGCATAAGAAAAGTACGGGCACTGGATTGTATTCTAAAAAAGGATTGGACCAGGTTTTCACAAAGGTTAACAGGCAGAACTTCGACGTGAAGAGTGGGTTTGCAGTTATGCATAATTAGGAAATGCATTTAAAAATGGGAAATTTAGATAACATGGGAGTTAAAAAGTGAATCTATAAAATATGTATATTAAACCAGATATCAGATCAGTAAGCCCCCAAATCATAGATTTCATTGCATTCTTAATATAGAAACAAATATCACTTTCTAATTACCCAACACATGTATTTTATAACAAAAACAATGAAAATTGCTTTATATTCACACCATAATTCACGGGCACGTTGGAATGAATAACTTTCCCAATATTTGTGGTAAGAAATAAAAAAAGTGCAGGTTGAATTTCGTTGGTTAACAAACATCTATTTTTAAAAAGCTGAACTGGTAAAAACCTATAAAAGCTCATATAAAGGTAAAAAGAAGTTTAAAATCATTAACTGGCATCAAGGCAAACGGCACTTTGGAACTTAGAGACGTGAGCCAGACTTCATTTAATTTATCCTATGCTCCTAAGAATGACAATGACAATGATTTATTCTGAGAGAGTTCCCCACACACACAGTGGGTTTTTTTTTTTGTTGTTGTTGTTACTTTTTTTTCCCTGTGGTAGGTAATAAAAAGGATTACAGGCCCCCAGAAGGATGAGATAGCATCAGTTTGTAATCCAGCCCATGGTTTCCTAGATACCGTATTGTCTATTCTGTTCCGCTATGTGAAAAATGTTGAATATCAACAATGGGTTTCAGTGCTGTATTGTTGAGTTTTGTATGAACTAATCTAGCTTCACTAAAAAAAAAAAAAAATAGAAAGAAAGAAAGAAAAGAAAGAAGAAAAAAAAAAGAAAAGCAAAAAAAAAAAAAAAAAAGAATCAGAGCTTTGCACAAAAGTCTCTAGCCAGAGCATTTGAAACTCCTCTTGCACAGGAGCTGACTGTAGCTGGGAGAAGACATTTTACTCATTTGCTCTCTCCTTTCAGTCAGCTGGCCCCTCTTCTCAGGTGTAGATCACCTAGTGTAATTCCACTAATTCTCATCCTCTGAGGAGGAACGTCCCAGAGCTTAGCGGCTGGAATAGGCCTCACTGCCGAGACAGTGCTCATCAGGGTCTGCAAGGTAAGCTATCTGCACAACTTCTCTGCTCTAGTGTGCTGGCCTAGCTCTCAAACTTTGCAGCGTTTCACTTTATTTTTAACTTTCACTTTTTTCTCTCTTTTCTTCTTTTGGAGAAAGAAAGCCTGACAGGTTTCTCCGGAAATGTGACCATCCATGGAATGAATGAAATGTTCTCTTTCTATCCCAGTAAGTAATTGACTTGTAACTAAAAATTGAACTGGCTGCTATGTCAACTGCGATGTGAGCGGCTGCTGGCACAGGTGTTGCTTACTCTTTAGTCTGGAAAGAAAAGGGGCTTAACCTGTGATTAAATTTCAAGTCAATTGACCTCAACATGATAGTACATAATTCTCACTTGCCTACCGAATGGCCTGAGTTCTCAATTTGACCCTGGATCTGGCACCTGCATTTTTTAATGTTTGGTGTAGCTGAAACTGGGGTTGCTCTTTTGGTTAGAAATACAGTGGGTGGAGAAAAGTTCAAAGTAAATAACAAATGGTGAGCAGGCAACTAAGCCTTTAATACAAGGCTCTGTGTGTTCTCTATTTTTTTTTAATGCACTTAGTCTGAGTTCATGGAAATTATTATTCACACTTTTATTTTAAAAATTATGGATTCATGAGCAACAGTTTTATTATGTGCTAGAGATACACATTAAATGCAAATCAGTGAATTGCAAGCAAGTAAAGGATGTGAGAATTTTGATATCAAATGCTTTTGATTGCTTAACTTTGATTATGTAACATACCCTTGGTTAAATGTGCCTTATAATGTAATGTGTTTTGAGCCCCAGAAATGTTATTTTTTTTCCTAGTTTCTACAAATAAAACAAAAATCCACTTACTTTTAGCAAGACAACCCTTTTGGACTTTTGGAAATAGACCTATATCTACTTTTCAGCAATAGGATAAAAATCAATGATATCTAGAATTACCATTTACACTTGATGCTATTTTCCATTTGTTTTATGTGAAATGGTTGCATGATAATAATCGGTGTGTAAGATGAGAACAGCCATAGATTGTTGGGTTTTTTTTTTCTTCCTATCTTGCTTTTTAACCTAAGACTCAGAACATACTGTTGATGCTTGCTTAACCCTGCTTTTAGTGCCAGGCTGTGACTAGCTTTCTGAGTAGCCATTTCTGACCCTCGGCTTGCACTGGTGAGCCTGAATTTTTCCCCTTCCTTGCCCATCACTGTCAGTCAATTATAGGATTGAACTGAACCAGAAAATCTGGTACAGTCTGGTAATTAGTACAAAGGGTTTCCAGTCTAGTGTAAAGACAGAGATGCAAGAGCCCCAGCAGTCACAGAAATCGTTTTGATTGGCCATGGACATTGCCTTTTAGTGCTGCTTGGTGACTTCCTAAAGATATTGCCTCCTACCCTACAGGTCTTCTCCTCCAAGTACATTATGGGTCTTTTTTTAAGTCGTGTGTGTGCGTGTGTGTGTGTGTGCATTTCTTTTTTTAGATCCAACTTCTCCCACTTTTAGTCTGTCATTTTTGCCTATCAAACAGACACATTTTGACTTGCCAACAAAGAACCAAGTTATCAACACTCACAGAAAGTGACATTTTTAATTCAGGCTTTATTATGTCTTTGAATTATGACAGTGAAGTACAAAGACATTTTAAGGGTTTTTCCACTATTTTTTTAAATCCAGCATTGGGATGTTTATCTTTCTTTGGTATTCATATTTCCCTTTCTACCTTTATTCTCAGTAATATATAATTAGCATTATCAAAACCATCAACCATTATCCTTTCTGACTTTTGACCTTTATTTTCTTAAATATGTCTCATGCTAGCATTCTCTAAAATAAGAAAAACTCCACAAGAGATTTTTTTTAGAGTAATTGAAACAATGAGACATTTAAAACCAGCAGTCCTTTTTAAATATCAACACTACACTGTCACACCAGTAATAGGTCCTGCAATGAAATAATAGTAATAAAATAAATTTAACAAGAAGCTATTTTGCAACTCAAACTTGCATTGAATGGCAAGTGCAATTTTACAGTGATGATTTCATCATTCGCTTGTAACCACAAAGTGGAAGTTACTGGCCTCTGATCAATGCTATTTTTGGATAATTTTTTGCATAAGTAAACACCCTCTTCAATTAAAAGACAAATTCAGCATGTTATCGAATACAGTGAAAGCATTTGTTAACTTGTCACCATAAGAAATGCCTACCTACACCGCCCGCAAAAGATAGAAATATGGATTATTTAAGGGAAAAGTTAGTCCTGACTCCCTATATGAAGCTGCAAAAGCAGCAGCGTCTGGGCTCAAGAAGCAACAGAAAGCACCAGGTTTTTATTTCCAAGACTGCTGTCTGTAGAACAGTCTACCTCCTGAGCTCGGTGATCATGCACGTGTGCTGTGAATCCTCCAAAAGACTCTTTATTTACCCACATGTTAGTGTAACTTTAAATATCTGTTTTAGTTTATACGCAATCTTAACAAAAGTAGTTACATTGCCATGTCTGGTGCTGATTTTTACACGTCTGACTTGGCTATTAAATTTCAAGAAGGTTAATATTGCTTTTGTAACCCTGTCATGAGTAATGCTCTTTCCCAGTAAACATGTCATAATTGCAAAGAAGCAGTGTTTCTGTTGAAATAGTTTTGTATTCACTTCCCTATTGTTTATTAGCCATAATATAGTGTGACATTTTGAAAAGAATATGCAGATTTATGTAATTAACACTTTTGTCTTTAGCAAAATCTTGCCTATTAAAAATGAGAAAGGTCTTAGGAAACTATAAGGCAACTTTTCAGGGATAATATTTACATTCAGTTTTAAACTCGCCATCAAGTTTTTCTGTTAAGATGTAAGCAGACATCTAAGGGAAACAGTACATTCTAAGGAATGTACTATACCGAAGGAAACAGTAGATTCTGGTGCTTTTTCTTATCTCATATTTTACTCTAAAATGTATGCTGAAATTCAAGAGGTGCTTGTCACATGCAGTGTGATGGTGTTTCTGTGTTCTTTAATAGCTGGATGCTGTGTGAATCCACACAGAATCACGGGGTTTCACCAGCTTTGAGAGAGACACACAAGTGTTCTTTTCCATTTCAGTCTTACTCTTAGAAGCAAGAGTAAAACTTGGAAGCCCTGAAGATGATGAAGTCTCCTGATTTTTCACGCTGGCTCCTCTGAGCTCTCCTGTCCTTAGGGGACACTGAGGGCAGTGGGGAGTGAAAGACCAGAGGACCTCCTGCCTCCTTTGAGACCAGAGTCTCTCGACTATTTTCTGCTACGTACTTTAACGATCCCTGAATTTACCTAGGAAAATCCCACGCTAGAGGGAAAGACACCAAAAAGAGACTGGATGAGGACATCTGATTGATAACAAAAGCAGGATTTATCCAAGGTCACACGCCGAGTCAGTGACAGTGTCAATTTTGTAACTGAATCACTTGTCACCAGCCCAGGCTTGTTCTAGGAGTCTACCACAGACATGATTTACACAGTCACGGTCCTCAACCAAATTGCTAAAAGTATACACTGGGAGCATCAGGCCCCTAGCTTCAAAATACTGAGGAGAGAGGATGTAAGTGGAGACTGTATTGCAGACTAAAATCAAGCCCTTTACTCAACAGTACTGACAATTCTGTGTGAACTGTTGCAGTTACCAGGCAAAACATTGAATCATCTTGCTTAATCACAAAGTCATATTTTGAAGGTATTTTTATAACATTGTAGTTGTGGTCAAAATCCTCACAAACATAAAATTTACTAATTTCATTATTTTTAAGAGACTAGTTCAATAATGTTCACTTGGGAATATTTTAGACAGTAGAATCATTATATATTAAGGACTTAAATCCGAAAGAAAGAAAATTAAAGGAAATAAAGTAGAATTTAAAAGTGAGCTTTCCCCAAGCCATGTTTTATGGAACACTGTTTCCACAAGCTGTGTCAGGAAGAAGAATAACATGGTAAAAAAAAAAAAAAAAAAAAAAAGCAAATATGGCATTCTTATATCCTTATCTAGGAAATTCACAATGAAAACCCGTGCTTGAAAAACTGAGAAATCCTGAAGATTTCTTTGACCTCTACTCTGTAAAATTTAAATTATTATAGATTATTTTCCATAAGTTTCTGCACTTCTTGCAAAACAGATCTATGTTTATGGTCCAGGATTAACCTGTTCTTGAACACATTTTAGGACGTTCTCCTCTATTTGAACACTTACATAAAATTGAGGAATGTAAAATATCATTTGTGCTATTTATGCTATGAATATAATAATGGCTCTGTGCTGGTCAGTTCTTGATTTTCATCTTGGGTGTAGTAAATCCCACTAATTTAATAACCCAGCACATATTTAAGCACACTAATAAGCTCTGAACAGATCAGTCAGAAGCCCTGATCATTCAGAGTTCACAGAGTAGGAGAGAAGTTACTATAAGTGCTCTGAGACACAGAGTCGGGGCAAAGGGGAGGGGTGAGAACTAGAGGAGACACAATCAATATTATCTCTTTCTGACGTCTACAGTTTCTATGGCTGTGTTTGTTATGTTTGCGTCATTTCAACCTAAGGGAAGAGGAAAGGGGGTGTGGAGGAGCCGCCTACCCTCCCAGGAGATAGCTCATAATATTTGCCTGAGATCACCTTGTGCCACATAAGTCAGGTCTATGCCAGTTCTCCAGTCATCCAACCAGAGACTTCTACTGTTTAATAAAAGAGAAAAATTGGAAGGAAAAAAAAAACAGAGAAGGAGAAGGAAGGCAGAGAAAGGAAACAGAGAAAGGAAAAGGGAAAAGGAAACAGCATTTACTGGTCTCTCCTACTATGATGTTATAGCTATTAGTTGGTTCGTTGCTTTCCAAGGAAGAAGGCTCAAATGTTGACAGAGGCCTTGTTTGGTCAAAAATCTGCATATCAGCAATGTCTTGTCTATAGTATAAAGAGCATCTCTTGGTCAGATTCATGTCAGTCGCAGTGAGTCCTGCCTCTGTCATAGCCTTCTCTGACTGCCTGTCCAGTCTTCACTCTGGGGCTCTGACCTTCTTGCTGGGGAATCTGCCTCCCTGTGAGTAGAATGTGTCTCTTAAGCAAAAAGAAAGATATTCCCATGGGCATAGCTACTGCATGGTTCTTAATGTCTTTCCTAACCCTAGAAAATCTACGCAAGATATAAAGCATGTTCCTGCCAAAAGAAGCTCTT